GAACTATATAAGATCTTGATTTTGAAAACAGGTCCAAATGGCGGCCATCTTGAAATTCAAGATGGTCACCATAAATGCACGCAGAAAAACTTGAAACATCATTTTTCTTTATGAGTTTACTATTTTGGTGTTTTTAAGCATTGTTGCAATTATCCCACTCATCCACTACAGCAACATCATCTACAACCATATTTCAATAAGCAATTTTTGTCAAAATTGGTTTTTGGGGGGTGGGGTAACATTGTATACAATATCTCAACCCCTATGTAATATATTTTCATTTTGTTTTTTGTATAGGATAGTATAATGGTTAAGGCAGATTTTAATACCCAGTTATAGTGGTTTTATTGTCACAATTCAATGGAATTAGTGTTTTACCTCCTCACAAGATTTGAAAATGAAGTAAAAAAACATAATTTTTATCAATGTTTCCACTGAGAATTAGAATAACAGTTAAATGAAACAAAATGTTTGCCAAATTCAGATAACCGAACATATTACCTGTAGTCAAAGACTTAATAAAAATGTTACAGCCAATTTTGTCAAATTATGCATTTTTCCTTCAATTTATGCAATTTTGACCCCCTGAAAATTCCTGCACACACTTGCAGGCTTACTACCCAATGAAAATTGTGTACAGATACCTCCTCTATGCAATAGAAAAGGTTTAAGGTATACAGGAAAATGTGGGAACGAAAATCTTGTTTTTCACCCCTGGCCAACTGACTAGATGGTTGGTATAGGCTTCATCGTACAATCGTCATTAAGGGGTGGTGTCAACATCGATAAATTTAAATGACTGAAAGATCGATCATCGGGTTCAAAATGATGGGTGACACAACCGTATATTCGACAAATAACTTAATTGTGACCTATTGTTCAATACCCTTATAAGGCTATTCAAGATGTATTTTGCATGACTTGCTTCAACAGTACGTTAACCAGTTCGACACGACTGAACGAGTGATGACGAAGGGTACAAACACAGGCTGGTCAACCAGTGTGTCGATTTGCAGTGGAAACGCTGTACGAGTTGATAAGGAGTACATGATCCTTTTCTTGAAACAAACGAGGGAATTTAATCATATCTATACAATTCATTTTATTTTGACGAAGAATTCAAATACAACAAATGAGTTGACAGATCCCGTGCATACACAAATAACATCCGGTATCTTCGGATAACTCTTGTACAGTTTCAAAGAGTATACGGATTATCATAAATTTTTTTGCAATCAATTGCTTAAATATATCTGCTTGTATCCAAATAGAAAGGAATGGAAAATTTATAATGAAAATATGTTTGTCACTAAAGTAAATTTTCTCTTTGACCTTGAAACGTACTTGAAGATCATTAAACTCGACAATCGTTGGTGGATTGCGCCAAGAAACCTTGATACGAAATATATACGTACAATAATCTCCTGAAAACATAACCTCCTCTGAAAGATTAAGAGGATTAAAGTAATTTGGGCTAACATCAAGCACTGTAATAACATACTCTCTTAAAATTCCAATGAAATGACTGGTGACTTACCAAAAAGTCAAATTATATTTTGCTCCGATTTTCTTTTACCTAGTTCTAATTGCCTACCCGTATCACTTTTTTTCTGAAATTGAGTTAAAACTTCTAAATTTGAGACTGCAATATATGTCTTCAGAGGGTATTTCATACACTATGTAACAACTGTTTTACCCCATTTCAAATTTGGTTTCATGCTGAATCGCTCTTTTCAACTACTGCTAACACGCTTTAAATGCAAGGAAAGCATCCCAAACATATATTTTGATATATAAATACATTGTGTTGATAACCACGTACTTAACCTACAGAAATAACACTCCAGTGAGTTTATATTCATGTATATACAACAATGTTCGATATATCAAGTTTCAAAAAGTACCACACCCCACACTAAGTCATACTTAATGACGATTGTACGATAAACCCTGTACCAACCCTGACAAGGATAGGTTCTAGTCATTTAACGCCTTTGACACTAAACTTATAAGGTTATTACAATTTACGTAAGAAGTTATTACATTTTACCGCAAGTTGAGATTATTACAATTTACGTCAATTATTATTACAATTTGCGTATTACAATTTACGTCAAATTGTATTACAATTTACGTTGTTATTACAATTTACGTCAAAATTATAACAATTTGCTGCAAGTATTACAATTTACCCTTTTATTACAATTTACGTCGTAACAGGCCATCTGCTTGCCCTGACGATGCGGCATTTGTAGCCAAGTGAAGACAGATCTGGTGATTTTGGAAGGGAACATCATTTGACAGCACTACATGGACTAATCTCTCGACGTGTTTCCAACAGAATCACCGGGCCTCTTTCAACATAATAACACAAGGCCCCATTCAACGTCTTACCTTGGCCAGCACACTCACCAGACTTCTCAACTTATCCAACTTGTGGGACCACCAAGCTAGAAAACGACAAGGTCGCCCATTTAACAAGGATCATTAAGCACACACATCATCTTTCTTGACATTGGTACTGTTATTAGGAGCAAACAATGTTAGTTGGTTGGTAACATTTGTTTTGCGCGTCATTTGAGGGTATTGCAGTAATCTATTATGTTTATATCGTAAGTTTTTAACCAAGGAAGGTTTAATTATGCGTTTTGGGCATATCACAGCAGGACAAGGGGAGTCAATAACCTTGTCTAAGGATACAACACAGTGACTTGCATGATATGGCCTCATGAAATGGAAGATAAGTGTTACAGTCATACTGTAGATCATGCTCATGTCTCGATGTCAAAGATAATGGCCTGGCCTTGCTCACTAAATACTCTGTATTGATGAGGACGGACATATTGCAGCCGAGACTTTTGAGATTATTATACCCCCGTTCACGAAGTAAATCAGGGGTATATAGCGTTCCGTCCGAGCTTTTGTACGGCCCATAACTTTTTAACTATGCACCCTAGCTTCACCAAACTTTCTACACACATTAACCACAATGAGTACTTGTGCCATTTGGTAGTTTGAAGATTCTGATTTTGTTTAATTTTTGCCGTTTCCATGGAAATATTAGAAACTTAAACTTTTAGGGTGGGTGTTTTGTACGGCCCATATCTTTTTAACCATGCACCCTAGCTTCACCAAACTTGCTACACACATGTACAACAATGAGTACTTTTGCCTTTTGCTAGTTTGAAGATTCAGAATTTTTTAATTTTTCCCGTTTCCATGGAATCATGGTAAAGATACATTTTGGGTAGAGTTATTGTACGATCCATGTTTACAATATTATGTATCCTAGCTTCAGCAAACTTGCTACATTAACCACTATGATTTTTTTTTATCTTTCATAAGATTCTGAAAGTTTCCTCTTTTGCTGTTTTCATGGAAACATGATGGAATTTAGAAATTTTGATGACTGGTTTTGTATAGCTAATATATTTTCCAAAATTGTTTCCACTCATGTAGATCATCATAAGTATCTGTGCTTGTGTCAGTTTGAATTTATGAATTCTTTACCATATCTCTAAAGGCTAGATGGAAATTATTAATTTATTGATTTTGTTATATGATATTGTTCCATTTTTTATGTGTTTTTATATCAACAATTTTTGGTCCTTTTGATAATTCTTCTTATGTAACTCCTCAATCAAATTTTTATTCAAAGGTGTTCATGTTGATCTACTTCCTCGTAGTGAACACTGGTAACATGGGAGATTTGGGGGGGTTAATTGTCACTGGAACTCCATCCTAATTTTTAAAACATTGAAGTTAAAATCATTTAGAAATATGTAATATTTCATTAATTAACAAACTATTTACTATTTGTTGTTGACCAGCGGGGATAACGGGGGTATGTGAGCTGTGTTCACTTCTTTCTTGTTTTTCAAGCAGATGGAGGCTAAGGAGTTGTTTTTTTTACAAAATTATGATCTGTTTTTGTTGGGTTTTTTTTTAAAACACCCAGAAATTAAATAGTCCAACCTCAGAGTGATCCCCATATCATAACAGACACATGTCTGTCGTGTTGCCTAATACGTTGACGTTCGCATGACGTTCGTTTGCACGCCTCCAGACACATCCACGCAAAAACCGATAATCAAGAGTGAATATGGACCCATCTGAAAACATTACACACGAACATTAGTGATTCTCCCACTTTCTAACGCCCTAACACCATTTGCGTCTGGCTAGAATGTATCGATTTGTTAACGGTGGTACAACACATGGTCACCGTGGACGCATAATAGCTGCATGCAGACAATTTCTAATCGTGTGGTCAGAAGCCTGGCGCAAACGAACAGCGATTTCATTGGCAGTCATTTGTATTTTTTAAATCCATAGAACTCTTGTTTGTTTTCTTAACAAATCAGATAAGTTTCAATGGTAAACCCCCAAAAGCGAAAATAACAGTGTTATGCATTTAAGATGTCCTACCTGGACATTGATAACTTCAGCATGTGTCGTCGCAAGATGCGAGGTACGGTGCCCCAATTCATCCGAAAGAAGCGCTGCTTTTCAAACTGGACAGCGTGAGTCACCGCAGAGGTTGTAGTAAGCACTATGTGGAAACTCAATACTATCCCTTGTTCTCATTTAATGAAGGGTGGGACGACTACTTGTTTCTAAAAACAAGGGACCACTTCTATGACCGTCTACGCTATCCACTGCAAGTCCATTCCTTGTGAGATCATGCATGTCTATTAGTTTGTAAATGTCCTTCACATGTCTAAAAACAAAACCTTTGAAAGCTTTACTATTGTCTTCAATGTTGTAACCATGATCAAAAACTTTGAGCAAGAGTCGTATACATCCTCTTTGAACCATTTATATTTACGTTACAGTATAGCACATATAGTGGATAGTCTCTAGATGTAGATCTCTAGGTACGAAGTAAGTCGTAATAAGACATGTCTACGGTTAGAATTCGCCGCTACAATAGGTATGCACATACTACATCAGAGCTGGCTACACAGACGTATGGTGAAACTGCGTGTTTGCTGTGTCAGAATGCCTTGACGAGGCAGGCCACCAACTGTATCAGAAGGTGCACATACAAGATCTGTACATGGGGAAGGTGAAGGTCCTGGACCAGCATCAAGAGATAGAGCTCATCAGTGCCCGCTTCCTGAGAGGTACGTGAGCAAATATGTCATATATAAGGCCATTTTACTTTGCATTCATCAACATGCGTCGATAAGGTAACAATGATGTATGTTTTTCAGATGAGATGAGGGAGGAAAAGGAAAAGAAAGAGGAAGAGCTTGGTATAGCAAAGAGGAGGCTTGACGATCAAAACATGAACTTCTATAAGCAGTTTGTGAGTGGTAGAATTTAGATAAGGGATGAGATAAGAGCCTACCAATTGACTTTCGTTCCATATTGTCCTTTTTGTCCATATCCTGCGAGAACTGAGAGGTCATGACAGTGTGATCATTTGGGCAATATTTGTGTACTACGATCAGAAATGTATTTATCTTTTAAGGCCACACAAAAAATACAGCAGTCGTAATAATTGTACCGTAACGAAGACCAAATAAACAATAATTTCTTCAACGCCAAACCAAAATACATGTATCAGCGCAAAGTTCCAACGTTTAATGTGACATGAACTAATTTTATATAAATATAATTTCAAAAGAACCAGACAAAACGCATCATGGTTTATGTCCGTATATAAAACAATATTTGGGGGCAGTTGTGTGACGGTATTAGGGCTACATTTTAAGCGTGAACGTAGTGCAATCTTGACAGGCGGAAATATGTACATAAACAATGACACCCACCAGCTGTGTTATAATACAAATATTATCCAGAAACCAGAACAGTCTATTATCGTACATTGCGCACATAGGCGACATGAAACGCTAAAAAGCGTACAAAGGGTACAATGCTCTGCTCTCCTCCACTCCTGTAACGTGTACACAGATTCTAAAAGGATACAGATAGGTAGTATGTTCTTAGGGTTTCGTTACACATGCAAATCTCATTTACTCAAACCTTTTAAGTAGAAACATTAAAATCTTAATTGTGTTTGGACAGTAAATTAGTACTTATAATAGCTAACCTGATAACAAATGAAATATGTGAGAGTGTAATATATTTGTAAGTTCCATATGTCCCATATCCTTGATTTTCAGTGTATTATGTCTGTTATGATCAATATATGCATGGATGTATTTAAAAGGCTAATGCAATGGCATAGAAAAAAACCGAAATAGGTCCCAAACTACATCATAAGTTATTCCCTAAACCGCATGGTTACTGCACATTTAAATGTCATAAAAATTACATGATGTAGGCTGGGAATTCGAAAAACAGCAACAAAGTTTAAGAATATACTGGCAAAAAGACAATATCACAAGTTAACACCACACAAAATTAATGTTCGCTCGTTTCAGAGAAAAAACATTGCATGTCTTTGAAGCTTGTGTCTTGTGGCCATGTCAGACTGTGTTGATTTTAACTGATTTCAAATCATCAGCTATTTTATTGTACAAGTTATGCCAATTCTATGGTTTTATACAATTCTTGTGCATACACGTCTTTATGCTCTTTTGTGTGTTCTCATACTCATCCCATTTTCAATGTGCCCAGGTCATACATATTACTTACAATATTGTGATGAGCGCAAATAAGCCTTAGACTGCCTAAGTCAGCCTCTTATCTATTCACAAGAACTACTACTACTACTACTACTACTACTACTACTACCTCGTTAGAAATACTTAAGTTCCAAATAGTGCGGATAAAACAAGGTTGAGTTCCTTTATTGCTATCACACGTTTTAAATACAACGTTCCTCCATTACCTATGCATACATATGGTTAGCAGTTTGGTCTTTAATTTTAACCAACGAATCAAGTCACGGCCTGGTTCCTGCGAGAGGGAGACCGACGACAAATAAGCGCTCAGATTTACTTTGCACAGTAAACGACAATATTAGTAGTTGCCTTGCAACACCTACCTCAGCCTTGCGGCCATCTACTGTAAAGTAGGGGATATTTAAGGTGAAACTATAGGAAAGTCCCCAAATGTCTGGCAATGAAAGTGAGTGATTTATGTCGCAAGATCATTTCCGAAGGAATCAAGATCCGAAACACAATATTATGACAGTCGGACAGTAAGTGCAAGGGGTGGTATGCCAGATTACATACGATCATTAAGGAAGCAACAGCTTTGATCACGCGGCCATTGCAACGTGCTGAACGTTTACGGGTCACAGGCATGTTGCAGGTAGGCACACGTCAAAATATTGTCGCCCAAACGCTGCATGTTCCTCAACCTGTCATCAGTAGATTGTCGGCCCCATACCAACAAACACATAACGTCGATAATCGACGCCTCTTTGGACTCCCAAGGGCAACGACTCCAGCCAAGAACTGATTAGTCAGAACGATGGCTTTAAGAAATCGGTGCAAACTGCCACTTAGTTAAGGACCGGTTTCAATAGACAACTGGTGTAAGAGAACATGACCACACTGTATGAAAACGTCTGCACAGATGGCATTTGCGTGCACGACGTTCACGTGTCATCCCTCATTTTACTGCACGTCATTTGAATTAGAGGCGTCAGTTGTGTAGGGAACATCAGCTCTGGGAAACTCGACTTTGGGCTGATGTCACGTTTTCTGACGAATGGAGGATGACTCTCGATCGAAGGAATCAAGTTTGGAGACGTCTTAATAAGAGTTGTTTGGACGTTAAAGACCTACAACATGATCGTTTTTTGGGTGGGGTGTTATCACAGTGACTTGCCGAACATCGCTCCATATTGTCCATGGCAGCGTCACAGGTCAATACTATCGGGACATCATTGCACCACCGTGTTGGGCAACGTTTCATCTTTCAAGATGATCATGCACGTGCTCATCGTGCCAGGACTGTGACCCAATTCCACCAACAGCCTCCAACAGCCAAACATGTTATGCCATGGCTAGCACCCAGTCCTGAACTACTCATTGGAACAACAAGAGTCAAGATGACATTTGTCAAGAATTCGTGCATGTCTGGCCAACAGAGTTTTTTTTTCTCTCGATAATATAAGATAGCTACAATAAAGAAGGAAGCGTCGTTTATTTCACGACGAAACATTGTTCTGTCACGACGTCATTTCTGAAGATTCGAACATGCGCTCGCAATTTAATGACGTCGCAATTTTTTGGAAGTTTCAAGTGAGTTGTTCCCTAGTGATGCAACGCATGTAAACGCAATGGCCGAACGCTCGCATTTAAAAGTTGGGAGAGATATGACAATCGGTATTGGGAAAAAGCTACAGATAATCGACGTGAGAATATCCGGCGGGAAATATCAAAAGGAAACACCCTATTCGTAGAATAGACCCTATTCGTAAAATATTGTCGAGGTCGGATTGTATTCATAGAGCCATCATATTTAAATACAGATAACTATTTTTAAAGCTTGGATTCTTTACTAATATTGTAACGTAACCCCCTGGATGCCACAGGGACATATATGTCCCTCCTCTACAACCCTCACTTTGAAGTCGAATAAAATTCAAAATACATCACCCACACAAATACACATTACAGTTTTGAACAAGCATGAAATACTCATATCCCCCGCCAATATGACATGTCCGGTTGTGTGCAATGCATTATCTCCTGTGAACATATGTTCACTGGACCTTTTAGTAATGGCCTAATTGCAGCACTAAAAAAGTTATTACTGGTCTTGTTTTGCCATCTGCATATTATGATAGAATACGTAACTGTATTTGTAATGAGTAAGGATGAGACATATGGACGAACAACTTCTTTATTACAATTAGGAGCGACATTTCGGTGAAGGTTCTAACACCGTTATCAAGCAAGTGAAGTACAGAATATGGTTGACATGAATATATACAGGATAGGATGCAATGCATGCAGTGTTTATACAGTTGAGTAGGTTTAAGATTCATTTACAGTTGTATTTGTAATGAGATGTGTTAAAACTTCAACAATAATTAGAGATCATTGAGAGCAGGGGTCACCATGAGGTGTACTGAGAAGTACAGCACCAATCATCTGATGATCTGAGTAGTAGACTGGAGTCTGGAATGCTACAGCACTGGCATGATCAGTAAACAACAAGTCCAGTGTAGCTCCTAGATAGTGAGCTGAAGAAAGAAATCTTCAAGTTTGAGTTTTTCACTCAGATCACAGTTGAACTCCCCAGTAACTAGGACATGTTCACATTCATGCTGCTTGGAGAGATCCTGAAGTTTCTGCATGAAATGAGAAAGTGAATGCGACAACCGTGTCCATGACACTTTTGGAGGAACATACACACAAGCAATGCAGAACTTGCCAACAAGAAAGGAAATGTATTCAATACTGCGAGATGACATTACATCACATAGCTGGACACTGTTCTTGAAACATACACAGCAATACCATGTGTAGTGTCTCCTGGATAGACTTTATATCCTGGCAGGTCTCTTTCACTGTAATCATTGATGTGTGTTTCTGTGAAACACATAACATCAAGCACACCAACAAACTTGTCCTTCTTCACATCTTCGAAATGAGCACGGCGGGATCGAACATTCAAGTGAGCTACCTTGAGTCCATCACCATGAATGTTCTCTACAGGGTGTGTCCAGGTGAACAGTTTTTCATTCCTCAATCTAGTCATCTCATCCAATGCTTTTTTGTTTACTACAATTTTGTGTTCATCAAAACCTACAAGCTTAAGGCCTTTCCTTGATTTGACCCTACTGAGCATCGTATACACTTGACCAGGCTGGGCTTGAAAGATGACATGACAGACTTAGCATTGTCTGACACAGAGAACAAGGCTGTTACAGCAGTAATTGGTACTGCATGTTTCAAATTGACAGGACTTCGCTTTCTTGCATCACGGCACTGAGAGGAAATAGACTGATTCGGGTGTCCCCGTTCATGTTACCGGTACCCACTGTGAGGAAGTAGGCTGGTTCAGGTGCCACTGTTCATGTTACCACCATGCACTGTGATGAAGTAGGCTGGTTCGGGTGCCACTTGTAAATTGTGTTTTCACAATAATTCACCATATACCTTGTCAAAGCCCCTTTGTCAAGTGGTATACATCTCAAATAGGTTATTATGGTAACGGTTCTCAGGCAACCCTGTGTAGATGTTTTTGTAGAATATGTAATCGGTTTCTGAGTTATGCTCTTGCTAAGGAAACATTCGTAAAAACTCCCAAACTATCAAAAGGCATGGTTTTCAAGATCTGCTCCGGAAACGAGGACTACCGCTATTTTCAGCCTAAGTCAAAGTCGTTGCCATGGAAACTCGAAAAATATTTATTTTTAAATCCCGAACTATCAAAAGG